CATGTGGCGTAGGTCGCTAATCCGATTTAACCGACCCACCTTGCATTTTGAATGCTACAGCCTCAATAAGCCAGGAGCAAATAATGTACAGACGGAGAATTATATGGAGCAATCACCCAGCAAATCCTGGCACATAACTAAGGCCTTGCAGTACAGGGGGGAGGAGGGGATGAAAGCAGCTTGTGCATATTTCACCCATAAAGGAAAAGGCAGAATTTGTCAGATGAGATATCGAGCCTGGATTTTCCTTTGGAAATGTCCCTGCTGGAGTTAACCGAGACAGCAGAGCCACCCGGTGATATAGGTCAGTGATGCCAAGTGGAGCCCAGAGGCCAGATCTGGCCTGCTGGATGGGGTTGGCCTGCCATTCATGGACGGACACGCCAGGAAACAAGTGTTCCTTCGAAGGCTGCACGACTTCCTAGCCCTCGTGGCAGTGGAGATGACCTCCCAAGCACGAACTAAGTGTGACAGATTCGCTGACATCTGCCTGAGTGTGCAGAGAGCCTGCAACAATGAGCAGAGGCGGGGAAATCACACCCCGCTACCCTATTCCTCCGATGGGAACCTCAGCTTGGGATGACACCTCCCTGTCAGCGCGAATGATTTAATTGCAGATCGTTTTAGGAGATGAAACAGGGCAGGGTGCAGGAGGGAGACCAAGGGGAATGGGCTATGGGAATGGCTTCTTGGAAGGGAAAGGATTAAAAAAGATAGAGAAGAAATGCAAGGCAAGGAGGACAGGACAAGAGGCCGGAAGGTGCTTGGTTCCCAAGCCTTTCCACTACCCCTGCACATGCCCTTCAGTTCCCCCAGGGAATGAGAGGGATCGAGAGGTACCAATAGGTAAAGACGGGTCCAAAACCCACCAAACCAGTGGGAGCCTTGCCATCAGCTCCAGGAACCTCAAAGCAAATGCCTGGAGAAACTAAGCTCTTCGCACACCCTCCGCGCAGACCAGAGCCACAGCATCAGTACTTCTGGGACCAGGATGTGGTTCCCGTCTCCTATAACCCTTGCTGCCTAGATGTTGAGACCCCAACCGGTCCCCGTGGGTCTGGTAGCATGGCTTCCCTCCAACATAGATCCCCAGCTCCGGAAAGAGAGAGGCACATTGGAAAGCTGCCAAAGGAGAGCAGTGAAAATCATCAGGAGCCTAGAAAATCTTTGCAGAGAGACTGCAAGAATTAGGATGATTTAGTCTGGAGAAGAGATAGCTGAAGGGGGAGGGAGGGGCATGAAAAAAAGCTTCTAATATGAAAAGAAATGTCCTAAAGAAGACACAGCTAGTTCCCTGCATGCACAAGAGATGGGACAAGAAGTCATAGGCTTCAATTGCAACGAGGAAAACTCAAATTGGTGAAGAAGAAAAATGTTCTAGCTCTGAGGTGTCTCAGCGCTGGGACAGGGACCGAGAGAGGGGGTGGATGCTGCATCGCTGGAAGAATTTAAGGGCAGGTTGGGAGGGTTTGGATGGGGACAATCCTCCCTGAGCATGGGGGTGGGCTAGGTGTGAGCTCCGGAGGGCCCTGCCCGCCCCATTTCTCCATGAGTCTCCTCTTCTCCTTGGGATTATCTGCTATAGACAATGCAAAATAGTGACTTGGAGGTCTCTGTGTGTGCACAAGTGCACACACACACACACACCCATACATACCCATGCACACACACACACACACACACACACATGTATCCCACAGATTTTATATAGACAAGCAAGAGGAGGAGGAAAGACACTTTGCTCTTGAGCACCAACAGCACCGGCTATAGATGCGACGCGCTGAGATGGGCCTGCGATTTCTGGGATTGTCCCAGTTTTACGGGGGTGCCCCCACACCAAACCCAAAGCACATTTTTAGGGGTTTTCTCAGTGTTTCATTTTCCTTCCCCCTCCTCCCAACACCTCCCCTAACTGAGCAGGTAAAATGCGAGGACGCTGGGTTGGGGAGAGATCCAAAGTTGGGGGAAAAATGGGATCTAAACAATAAAAAATCTGCAAATGTTGTTTTCAGTTGACTCAAACCAGCCTGAATTCCCAGTGAAAGCTGTAGGGAGAAAAGGAGCTACAGGGTTTTCATGAAAAATCATTAGTTTTTCCAGCCTTGGGGGCTGGGGTCTGCAGAAGGGGAGTTGTTGGGCAGGGGTTACTAGGTGGGTCTTAGGGATTCAGGCATTTAGGATTCAGGAAACCCCCATTAACCCCAGCCATGCTGTTGAGGCTTGTCGCCACTTCCCAGGACCTTTCCCCAGCAAGGAGCTGAGCACAGCCCCCTTGCTTTTGGGTGGGGAGAGGGGAGCTCTGACGTGCCCCTGCCCCGCTCTAGCCTCACACCTCTGCCGCGAGGACTTGGATTATTGCAGGGAGCTGATTGGAAAAGGGCTTTTTCCCCAGGAAAAAGGATAATGGCTAAAACCTTGCTTTCATTTTTACTGAATCTTTTTGGTCCTCCATCACAAAATGAAAGCTCCCTGGCCCATTTTTGTCAACCCCAAACTTGCAACAGGTACAGTTGGGCAGCATCGGGTGCTCAACAGCTCTCAAGCGGGACGCCGGCTTATAAGTGTCAGCAGAGAAGGAGCCAAAGGGTTTCTACCTACAAGCTTCCTAGGCAAGACAGCCATGGGGTGGACAGGGTGATTACAGAGATGAACGGGGCTGGAAAGGAAATAGTTTTCCTGTTCCATGAGGTTTTGAGATTTTGAATTTTATTTCCTGTTCCTGAACTGGGACAAAAGGTGAAAGTCCCCCCAAAATGTTCACAGCCGTTAATAAAATTAGTAGTAGTAGTCGTCGTATCATCATCATCATCGTTGCAATTATTTTTAGCATTGCTGTTGTTGTATTTGTTATCCCGAAGGAGATTCTGGAAGGATTTTCTCCCTTTTTTCCCCAGTTTGGGAACGAGAAAAACATTCAAAATCTCAAAAAACATATTGGACAGGAGAGCTGTTCATTCCCAATCCCACTCACATCCATCACCTCCACTCTTCCCACCCATTTGCTGTCTTGCCTAGGAAACTTATAGGCAGAAACCCTTTATCTTTTCATCTGCTGACATTTTTATTATGGGCTGGCCTGCAATTATTTTAGAAGTAGTAGGAGGAGGAGGAGGAGGAGGAGTATAGTAGTAGTAGTAGTAGTAGTAATAGTAGTACAATTAAAACCATTACTGTTATACAGATCAAGTTCACAGAAACATTTCACGATACTCTTCAATCGTAACAATATTCAGACTATTAATATGCAAACGTTTCATTTCATTTTAGACTTTTCATTAGATACTGATTTTTGCAGGAATTCACATGTCAATCCCCGCCGCCCCTGAAAGCCTCACTTCAAACCCCAAAATAAAAATAACGTTTCATTTAGAAAATGATGAATTACAACTTTGGGCCATTTTGATACTATTTTTCCCATTTTTTTTTCAATGGAAGAGGTTTCCTTGAAGCGGAGCCCTTCCCTCAAAGAGCTTTAAATTCAACAGGTTGATATTTGCTGGGGAACAAATAAATGAAAATCATTGGGCAATGCCCAAATGGTTTTAGTCATGGTGACTCCTCAAGTTGCAGGAAAGGAAGTTGAGGTTGGATATTAGGAAAATATTTTTCACTACAAGGGTGGTGAAGCACTGGGACAGGCTCCCCAGAGAGGTGGTGCAGTCTCCATCCTTGGAGGGGTTGAAGACCCAGGTAGACAAAACCTTGTCTGGGATGATGTAGTTGGGGCTGGTCCTGCTTGGAGCAGGGGGTGGGACTGGATGTGACCTCCCGAGCTCCTGTCCAACCCTCCTTGTCTCTGATCCTATGACTTTATGAAATGCCGCACTTACTTTCAGAGACATACACCTATTCAGTCAGTCCTAGAGCCTGCATTTAAATAGATGGAGTTTCAATACACTGCTAGCAAGCCATCATAGCACATTGTCCTCTCTCCTGGACATCGGCGGGCTTCTCATATCCTCGTATCCAAAAACAACCCTTCTGACTGACTTGCTAGGAGAAGAACGACGGCTGGTTGCCCAAGGGGGCAGAGTTAAGGGTTATCTGGCTAGCTGAAAAGTTTTATCTGCACTGTAACTTCTCCATGCTTGTTCCCGTGGGCATTGGGTGACCACGGCCCCTTTGTCATCACACCTCTTCTTATGCCACTGGTACGTCCTTGTACTGCACCTCAAAGCTGCATGTGTCTTTCTTAACGCTGGAAACAGCTGCATAGCTTGCCGGTGCCTTGTGGGTACGTGCCAAATTCCCCGCAGAGCCCCATCTCCTGCCAGGTCCCCACGGGAAAGCTCAGGCTCCCCCCAAAGCGGTGGCACGTGACACAGAGATTAACTGCAGCACGGCCTCTCCTAGGGGCTGGTCCATGCAGAGGGTAAGAGCCCGCTACTAAGAGAGCTGCTTCTCTAGTCTGTGCCCTGGAAGACAGTCCTGGGCTATGACTGCTGGCGGTGGAGGATGGAGGGCCGGGGTGGAGGGGCACAACAGGCCACCCTGCCCCATGCTCCAGAGAGATGGGATGCCTCTCAGCGCCTTCATTGTAGAGGGGTTGTATCCAGGGCACCTTTCCTTCCCCTCCCTGACCTGGGCACTATAATCGTGCTGCCCTCCCTCCAACCCCATCCGCTCTTTACGATCCTGTGCGTGTCCGCACCCCCCGCCTGGCTTCTCGGGGGGCAGGTCACCGCTGAAAGAGAGAGTCCCATCGGCGGGGAGCTGCCGGAGCTGCTAATTGGATGATTTATAATCCACTCTCCCAGGGAAATACCATATGGAGGGTTTAGCACATGATCTTCCCAGCCCAAATCCTCTCTCCATTCCCACCCCACGTTGCCAGCCTGTGCCTTGCTGATCTCTCCTGGTTGTGCCAACACCCCTAGGCCAGCCTGCAAACCAGCTGGAGGGGGAAAGACCCATGCAGCGGGTTGCATGGAGCTGACATGCCCTCTGTCAAGCCAGGGGTGCCTCGGTTTCCCCGTGCGACGCGGACAGGAGCCTCTTACCTGCGTTTCCGATAGGTTGAGCTGCCTCGCTAGCTCCGTCCTCTCCCTGCCGACGACGTACTGGCACCGCTGGAACTCCAGCTCCAGCCTGTACAGCTGCTCCGCCGTGAAAGAGGTCCGGGTCCTTTTGGGCCGGTCCAGATCCAGGCCTTTAGGGAGAACGATCTCCCGGATGGTCCCTTTGGCATCTAGGAGCAATCGCAAGCACAGGCCGGGGGTGAGAAGGCTCCCAGGCTGGGGAGGGTGGAGAGGGCAGAGCAAAGGGGATGACTGCCCTGCTTAGCTGAGAGGGGACACACAACCTTTTAAACCCCCGAGACAGCTGCCAGCAGGCTGGTCCATGAGGAAGCCTGGACCGGTTGCTCTCGAGCCCTCTCTGGGCTGCTGATTTCTTTCCCCGTCTTCAATCCCCAGGTCTCACCCAGTCCTTGGCCCATCCATGTGCCATGGCAAGCTGGGGTCCCCTGAGATCCTTTCAAGGGTGTCACAGACTATTAGCACGGTTAGATGTGCAAACACCTGCATGATTCATTAGATAAGCCCAGAGGTTTCCAAAAGGCATAACAGATAGAGAAGTCGGGCTGGGAGGGACCTCCAGAGGTCAAAAGCACAGTGGCAAAGCCATCCTGTCCCACTGGGGGTTTGCTGAGTGCTTTGCAGCAGAAGAATTCATAGAATTATAGAAATCCTGGAGACGTGGGGCTGGAAGGGAGCCCCGGGGGTCACATCCAGTCCAACCCCCTGCCTGAGGCAGGATCAGCCCTGTCCAAACCAGCCCAGACAAACCCATCATGTAAACTCTTAGCAAAACTACACAGTCCCCCCGATACAGCCCCAGGCATCACCCCAACCCTGCCCCAGGGAAAGCAGGGGGGCCGTGACCGCCAATGTCCTGCTCCTGCAAAGGGGGTTCATAGATGCTCGATCCCAGGTAGGGGCCGTGCTCCTGCTGCAGAGGCAGGAAACCACCCCAGTCCGTAGCAGTCTGACCAGAGGGAAAATCCCTTCCTGACCCCAATGCAGCATCAGTCTGAGCCTGAGCGTGGGGGCAAGACCCTCCAGCCAGGACCCTGCGGGGTCGGTACAGCAGGAGCATTGGCACAGCCCAGTCCCCATCCCCAGCCTGGGCTGCAGCAGCACCAGCGCCTCTGGGGGAGGCTTAAAAAAACAAACCAACCCTGACACACATAACAGCAGAAAGGAAAAAAAATATCCTCGTAGCTTCATATGGCAAGATCTATCTATCTCTATCTCTATCTCTATCTCTGTATCTCCTTGGATTTCCTAGATAGAGATAGAGATATCTATCCATCTATCTAGAGACAGAGATAGATATAGCTATAGAAATATCTATCTATCTATCTAGAGATAGAGATAGTGATGGAGATAGAGAGATATTGCCAAAAACACATTTCTTTTTCCATTTCTGTTTTGTGTTTTCTCCCTGGAAGAGCTGGAAGATGCTGGGTGACATTAAAACTGTCCACAACGCTGTTTTTTTCTCAGGCAGCCATTTGTTACTGAAAGGCGGTGCTAGTATTTCCCCAGGCTCCAGCTCCTGGTTCTTCTCCCCTCAGAGACCTACCCTGGACATGTGCAGTGTGTCCCAGAAAATGTCTACACCACGGCAGCGGCATGCAGCAGCTCCAAGCATGCCTTGCTGACTCCCTCCAGACCCAGAAATGCGACTGAAGCTGGCCTGGGGCATCTCTCTGCAGATGCTCTTGAGACCTCAGTCTCCAATGGGCTTGAGAGCAACTGCAGGGGACAACCCCGGAGTGGCCGCGTCAGCATATTTCCATGGGAGCAGGTGGATGGGCATGTGGAGGCTGCCCCCACTACAGCATGCTGCCCCAGGGCACGGACGATGCCCACAGCCTCTAAACAAGTTTACCAGAGACACATCCTACAAACCACTAACCCATACACCCAAACTTCTGCACAGCTCGGGCTCCAGCTTTGCTTCCCTTGTTTACCAGGCTCCGTGCCGGGTCTCTCTCACAGTAGCTCAGAAAGAGGATCGTGAGCAGCTGCTGGGGAGCTGCAACCTTTTGGCCTTTCCCACGCTGCACAACGGGAGGGAGATCCCAGCTATGTATCCGGGAAGTTGAGTGAGTGCCCCAGAGGGAATGGAGAGCTACTACCCCATGCTGCATAGAGATGTGTAGTGGCCAGACCATGCACTCCTAGTCCCAAAGGAAAACCCAAGCGCCTTGTTCCCATAGGGCAAGAGCACACTGTAAGTCAATCGAGTCCCCCTTAGAGGAGGAAGAGCAGCAGCAAGGTGAAATGAGCCTCAGTCAAAGCACGGGGTGAACACAGATCCAAATTCTCTGCTGCAACAGCAGAGCCCTGAGAGGCCTTGGCGACACCATCGCCTTTCCAAGCCAAGGACCGATGATGGGGAAAGTCCAAAGCTCAAGTCTCCTATGCTTGCATCCCCATTATTTTCATGGGGGGCCAAAAGCTGTGCTGGGAGCTGGGTAGAGAGGCAAGCCATGGAGCAGGGAAACCCCACTGCACATTTCCCTGCAAATATTGCCTGCTTTCACAACGGCCCTGTGTTTGCTTCTCTAATGAGTTCATTCTCCTTGAAGAGTCAAGCAACGGCCTTATCTGCTAGGAGTACTCATGGGCCGTACTAGCCAACTTGGTTAAAAAATAAGTGCGACACCAAACAGGTTCCCACACCAGCTTGGGGCCTCCCATCGTTGCCCCGTTTGCTGTGGTCTAACGGCGGCTCCATTCATGGGAACAGCTCATCTGAAGCAACCATGAATCAACACAGGTGACTTTTTAAACTTTAGAAAGTGAGTATTCAGACCTGAAAGCTGGCTTTAAGATTGCACCCATCCCATAAGGACCTGGGAACAGGACAAGGCGACCGGAAATGACAGCGGGGAGAGAAAAGGGTCTGTATTTGTAGGATCAACCTAGGATTTGGTGCTGCACACCATGACAGCTAGGTAAATAAGTAGGTAGGTGGGTAGACAGACAGAGCTGCGTGTCCACTCAACCCTAACCAACCCCAGCTGTAATTTCCAAGCTCTCCGTTTTCCAGCGTGGGCAGTGAGTTTTCCTCCGGTGACCTACAGACCCCGAATGAGCCGCCAACCTTACGCCGTGAATAACTCGGAGTGAAAAACAAACCCAGCCCAGGGAAAAGCCTCAGTGGCTCATGGACCGCAGGGAAGGAGAACATGCTTGGACGACTGCCCAGCTCACGTGGGGCCTTCTCCAGCATGTCCCCTGTCTTGTGCGGGCACATACACAAAGAGGCTCATAGTCTGTGCTGCAGCACGGAGACTGGTGTCACACGGCTGGTGGATTATGGGCCTCAGCACAGCGGCTCCGGGCCTGGAAAGCTCCTGGTGGCTCTGGGGCTAAAATGTCCATGTAGCAGCAATGCCACCTTCCTTCCTTGCTGCCACTAGAAAGGGGTGCATGTTGCTCGAGGGGGAACTTCTGGGGGGGCAGGGGAGGGGAAGGAATAGGAAAGCAAAGGGAGGGCAGGGGGAATAGAAATAGAAGAGGAATAAGAAGAAAAACAATGAGGGACAGGGTGGTATTATCACCCAGGCGTGGAGAGGTCTGCGGATGTAGTGATACAGAGAACATACGTGACCCCAAAAGGGTTGGGGACCGCTGGCCCGCGGGGGCTTGCAGCGGAGGTCACGGGGATCCCGGCAGCACACGGTGCCCAGCGAGGGCTGGGAAAGGGCAAAGACTGCCCCGTGCCACCTGTCCAGACCTGTGCTGGGCTCTCCTGAGCCTCTGGGCCATAGCAGGCATGGGGACAAGCGGACGCTGGTGCAGAAGAGGCTTTGCGGGAAAGTGGCGATGCCCTGAGTGGGAGCTGCATGTATTCCAGTGAAAAGCAGCTCCAAATCCCTCTCTGACCCTGGGCACCTCAGAGGGACACGTGTTAGCACAGCCCTGAGACCACGGCAGCAGGGAGCTTATTTCACACGTGCCCTTCCGCGATGCTTTTCACGGGCTTACAAAGAACCAACCTCCATTTTACATCCCATCGCGCAGCCCGGGCGCGTCCCCTGCATTTCCGACGACGCTCGCACTCCACCTGCCGTGGGTTTGCTTCTGTGCCTCCCCAAACCCATCCCCTTTGCTGTGCTTTCCTTGCATTTCACCATCAAATATAGGGCAGCGCCCTTCTCCCCGCTGCCAGTCACCCTATCTGGTCTCTCGGGGCGCTTGCACATGCCTAGTAACGACCGAAACATCGACCCAAACATTGTTGTGCTCTTATTCTACGCAGCAGCTGTCCTCAAAGCTTTTAGACTCCAGGCACCCTTCAGTAGACTCAGGGTCCCCCTCGGAAATTGCCAGCTCTCAGCTCGAGCTCATTTCTGGCCTACAGAAAAATAATGGAAGGATTCTTCTGTTGCAAACAGCTCAGCAAGGCGCAGCTGATTTGGACTCTGGGCATCTATTGGAAATCTCTGGCTGGATTCATGCATCCTGCATAGGTGTTTGCACAGCTAACCATGCTATATTGTGCAGCACCCTTAAAAGGACCGCATAGCATCCCGGGGTGCCACCGCGTTCCAGCTGAGAATCACGGCTCAACAGTTTTGCCTGGCCTATACCTCTCCCCTACTCCGAGACCATATTTCTTGCAGAACATACAGTCCATGGACCTGTTGGTACACATCATGCCCCATCCACAGTCCTGCTGACTGCATCTTGCTGTGTTTTAAAATCATCCCCAGGTAACTTAGTGCATCTGCTGACAATGTGACCGACGGTCTCTGGGACTTGGACACGCAGCCTGTGTTCTGGACTGAGATCCTTCTACTGCCTCTCCCTGCTCCAGCCCCCCTTCAGCTGGGAGCCTGTTCCTCTGCAGCCCTGGTTAAACTCCACCTTCAGCTAGTAGCCTGTTCCTCTGCAGCCCTGGTTAAACTCCCAATTTTTCTTCTCCATTGTCTTTTGTTTGTAATTTGCCATCTTCTTTTAGGGGATTCTTTTTACCACCATCACTGCCCAGTTCTCCACAGACCAAGCTCTACTTCCTCTGCTCCCATCAGCTTATGAGCTCAACATTTGTGCGAGCCCTGGTATTTGCAAAAAATACTGTAAGTTGCTTTCTCTTTCTGGCTGACTCAGACAGCAGGAGATTGCAAACCTTGCAGAGCAGGGAGGCAGGGAGGGGGAGCAGGGGCAGGCT